ATATTATATAAAATTATATACATATTTTTAAAATAACCCACTATACCCACAAGTCCACTATAGTTTGCACCTCTTCTCTGCCTATTCAAAGACACTCAAGAAGTGCTTTTCCTGCATCTTTCAACAACAACCACAGATCTAGCTATACTTTTCTGTGCAAAGCAAGTGACTGTGTAGTGCTTTTCTGGACACCCTACACAGCTCTGCCAGTTTCCCTAAGGCACACAAGTTCAGAAAAATCCAACTACTTAAATTTCATACCCACCTTCCCCAGATCATTTTGACCAAGTTGCTTGGTTTCTCCTTTTGCAAGGACAGGAGCTACAATGCTGTCCTCCTTCCAAGGAGAACAAGCAGGTATTGTTAAACAAGCATGGAGATCCTCAGGTCAAAGAGAGCAAAGCCCTCAGGACACATCATGTCTCACAGGGTACTGTCGACACTAGTTTGAACACTGGTTTCTTGAAGCAGGCCTCAGTCCTCTCTATGCACCTACTAGTGTCTGACAGACTGTTTGCTCTACGCTAATGTTTACCTGCATTGCTCACGTTACTGGATTTCAGCACAGGTGGTGGCGTGACATGGTTGGCAATGGCTGTGGAAGAAGGAGGAGGTATAGGAGGGACTGCAATTTTGCCTCCTGGTGGGGGTGGCAGCAGGCTTAGACCACCTGATCCAGACACACGGGGCTTGGCTGGTCCTCCTTTCTTTGTTGTCATGTTCTGTATAAAAAGAAAGGACAAGTGAGGAAGAGTCTCCATTGGTATATATGTAAAAAGAAGCAGGGTAAAGTGGGCTGCTTACCCCAATGTTCAGTTTGATGGTCTGCCCTTCCTTAAACCCTAAGTCTAATTTGGGACGTGTGTCAGCTTCCTGGGACTCCTTGGAGATCTCAGTCTCCTGCTTCACCCACCTAAAAGGAAGAGAGGAAGACATAAGATCCTGTGGCAAAGGGGAACCCCACCAAAGAACTACCTTGCCTTGTCCGACCAGCTACTTCCTACTCCCAGGGTAGTACAGCAAAAAGCTGGGACCACTACAAACCCAAAAGACTAAGACTGCACCTGCAGCATCACAGGACCTAAGCTTAAGACTTACAGATCTGATCCTGCAGGACTCTCAGCTTGCATGACAGTTGGCAGCACACTTAAGTGTCCCTGAGAGAGCCAGCGCAGGGCTTCGCAAGCATCCCAAGGAAGCCTGTACTAAATGAACATGCACCACGACCCACCATGTTCTACAGGCCAGAGGAAAAACAGAATTCCAGAAAAGCACAACTCACTTGAAGTGATCCTGCAAAGAGACGTTGAAGTCAAAGGCATCACCACGATCCGTGAAGCCAATGCCTATAAAAGCACTTCGTCCTAGCAAGGAGACAGAAGTCGTCATTGGAGATGCCCTGCAAATGGGCCCTTGTGCTCATTCACTTCAAAATCCTTCTGCTTTCTCCTAAACCACTCTGCGCTACCTCCCCCTGACACATCTGCAGCTGGACACCGGCACCTCACAGCTCTTCATTGTTCCTAGTCTTCAGGATACACCCTTCTTCCCATGTGGTGCTCTCAGAAACTGAATGTTTGCCCCCAGCCCCTGGGCTCCACACAATGTGGAGAACCCTCCTCTGTTAACCTTGCCTTCCTACCCTTCCAGGCACACTACCCAGCCTTTTCAGCATTCCCAACACCGTTTCAATCCACCTGGCATACACCCAGCTCCATCAGGCTAAGTCTCCTCCACCCCTAGCACTTGGCATAGACATGACCCCTCAACCCACCAGTCCCATCCTGAATTCGAATGACAAAATAGCGGCTGGAATCCGTCACAGTCTCCACTGCAATGCCAGGGTATTGATCTATAGGAGCCTGGGCGAAGAGTTCTCCTGTAGACAAAGAACTGGGTGTTAAGGAGAGCAATCTCTTCCATGGCTAGGGCTGCCATGCACAGCCCTGAGCAGGCTTAGAAGCACAGGCTCATGAGCAGCATCATATTTGCAGTGTTGCCAAGCCACAACCCTTACCTGAAACTTTATCCTCCAGTTTTATGTATGCAGTTTTGCCTTTGGAGGTGACACGAAGCCGCCCCGTCCAGTCCGGATGGTCCAGTTTCCAGTCAGATGCCCTGAAAAGAAAAGCAACAGTTCACTGACCATACATCAATCCCTCCACTTCTGCCCCACCATCTTAACAGAAGTCTCTGCTCCCAAACCTTCAACACATGCAGCTGCCTTATTCCACTTCTCTCCCCAAGCAATACATGAGGTCTCAGCTCCTCTCTGTTGCTGCCAGTCAACACTCGACACATATGGCTCTGACTCGTCTCTCTTTCCACTGGGTAAAGGGAAATAGACACAGTCCAGAGAACATCAACTGTCTTTACCTTTCTAAGCTTGCAGAAGAAAGGTTCTTGCAACCCAGAAGCTCAATTGGAACAGTAAACCCAAAAGTGACTAATAAGTGATTTGTGAGCATCAGGAAGACCCCCAAAATTAAGTAATAGCATGCTGAAAATCCACTCCATTATTCTACCCTGTTCATGGAAAATAATATAAAGTACCTCTGAATCTAGAAGCAGCTAACTTACACTAGGTAAAACATCATACACACAGCCATCTTGACTAGCCCACCAAACTCTTTGCTACAGTTGTGAAGGGGAAAAGAAGGGGTGGGGAGGAGAGGAAAAAAAACAATGTATAGGATTCTAGAACTGGAAAAATACACCTATGGCAAGGCACACCATTCACAGTAGCAACAGTCTGCCAAGTTCAGAAAGTAAGACCAACACCCATCAATGCTTCAGAACACAACCCATTTCTCCAGCAAGTCTCTGGGCACAGCTTACAAAAGTCACACTCCACTGGCTTCAGCTAAAGAGAAAGAAGGCATTTCTAACTCCTGGCCCTGCAACCTCTTCCTAAGAATCATGCTGAACTCCTTCTGGCTTCCTCCCTACTACTGTGAGAGCCAATAGGCCAAAACCAATGTGCCATGATACCACATCAGACACATCCGAGGGAATGGGGCAAATTGAGAGCAGAGATCAGCTCTGCATGGAAGAGTGAGTAGTTCAGGTGCCCTCATAACCTGCACATGATTAACAGAGCAGCCCCTGCTCCTCCACAGCATGGAGCAAAGCCTCGTGCTTTTAGGCACAGACCACCTACAAGAGGTGACTCAAGCTGGTAACATCCCCCGAAGCTGCAGCCGGTGGGGCCTAAGGCCTCAGGGCACAGGCCTTATTTGCTTGCGGCCGCAGGCCACGGCCTCCCAAAGCCCCGCTCGGGGCGAGAACGCCCCTTTCCGGGCCCG